GAGAGAGAGAGAGAGCGGGGGGTGAATCGTCGCATCGATAGCCTCGAACGAAGGGAATTTTGACGATCCGAAGGAATCGTGTGGAAGGCAGGGAGATAGCGTCGGGCCGTGCGAGACTTTTGATTCGTCCCGTAAGAGAAAAACATTTTCATACGATCACTTTTTATTTAATGTGCGCTACTGTTCTCATTCTCACGTCACGTGTACACCGGTTGAGACGATCATCGGTGGAACTTGGTGGAACGTTTTGTGATCTATTTGCTTCCGTTGTTTTCAGATTTTTCGATTCTTTTCTCGATTTTTTTTTTATTTTTTATATATAAATATATACATATATATTTTTTGGATGTCGTTCCAAGTCGTGGGCAAAAAAAAAAAAAATGATTTTCGAGAGAATAAATTGGATTGCTCGTAACAAGTTCAGTTTCGACGATATGGCATGGAGGCAATATTTTACAAAATATTTCACGTTCTACCATCGAATAACTCATCTCGTGTATGTACACTCTCCAACATACACACGCGAATGAATGGCTATTCTTCTCTCTCTATATATATATATATGTACATTTTAAATAATACGAATTACGGAATGTTTGTCCTCCTCACGTAACATTCACATTCACTTTCTCTCTCTATATATATATACATATATTTAAAAAAAAAAAAAAAAAAAAGAAAAAGAAAAGAAAAGAAATGAGATATATATAAACGCACCAAATTTTTCTTTCTCCGTATATCTTCACAAAGGTATATCGTTTATATTTATTTCTTGTTGATTTTTCTTGATCTTGATCATCTCCGCTGTGAACTCACTGAATGTTTTTTTTACCACCCAGTATATATATACTATATACTCTCTTCTCGTTCTTGTACATCTCAGACACGTTCTTGCCCATCACGACATACCGCTATCATGGCCATTCGTCGTAATCGATGCACGAGCAGCGGGACGGTCCGAAAGTCGTCAAGTCGCGTCAAGACGAGCCGATCCCAGGCCCAAGGGAGGACTTTGCGACTGTTTGGCACCGACCTGATGCGACATGCGATAATACGACGTCGTTCTCCTCGCGTAATCTACTGTCTTATCCTCTACCGTTTAACACCTCTTGTGTTCTTTGTGTCCATTGTGAGTGGTCGCAACCCGATATTTTCTCCTCGATCCTCCTTCAAATTTCTCTCTGCCAGTTTCCTATTGACAATTCTTCCATGATTCTTCGCGGGAAAGAAAGTTTCGAAAGAAAAAGAGAATCGGCAGGGGTTCGATTCAAATTTCGGTTTGCAACCACTCGAGGGATATATTCATCGTACATATAGCCACGCACACTCGTCGAAATGCGTATCCACGAATCTCGATCACGTCCAGCACGCTGTTTCTCATCGCTGTTCCATGATAATCGTTAAACCTTCCAGCACTATTTTTTTCTTTCTCTCTCTCCGCTACTATTCACCTTGTCGCGCAAATCGGATCGAATTCACTTCGTTGCACTTTACCGAACTCGATATCCATCTCGATCGATGAGTCGTGGATACGCATCTTGCTCTTACTCATCTTGTCCATGCGACGTGGCCGCGTTTCGAACGTTTTCCCGCAATCCCTCTGGGGGAAAGAATTTAATAACACTCGGATCGCGATGACGATCGAGGGGGGGGGGGGGGGGGATCTCGTTCCATTTTCGGGCGAACGTCGTGACGATCGATCTTTTCTCGATTTTCTCGATTGTGCACGATAGAAAAAAAAAAAAAAAAAAAAGAAGCTACGATCGGCGATAAGAGAGAGGATAGGAAGGGAAAAAGAAGGAAGGGGTGTAACGAGAGTCGTCGAAACGCCGCGCGCAGAAATATGGACAACGATGTCGGCCGTACGTCGCGGTGGGCGAAAGAACTGCGGCGGCGCCCGGCGTCCGCAAGAGGATAAATGTTTAGAGAGCAGGAGCAAAAAATTTCTAATTCGCGTCCGATCGAAAGATCGAAGGCTCTTAGGCAATATTGGAAATAGAAAGAAAAAGAGAGAAAGACTAAAGGAAAAGAGAAAAAAAAGAAAAGAAAAGAAGAAAAGAAGCCTTCGGTTGGTAGAGTGACCTTGCGATCGTGGATCAGACGAGAATGAAAAAATTGTCGCGAGAGATCGATAGAGACCATGCGGTCCTTGCGGACGATCATGGATGTCGTCGGTGATCGGTGATCGGAGCTCCTCGTAGCTCCCATTGTAGCAAGCAAGTGTGAGAGAGTATAATCGGAGATATAATCAGAGAGATATAATCTAGTAGAGATGCATCGGGATATAATATAAACAAGAAATGGTCATTCGGACGGAGGAGCGCGAAACGATCGGCTGGATGTATCGAAGGATGAAGGAAGCTCGGCGAGACGTCGCTTTTCTTTCGTCAACCGGGACGCTGCCGGTGCCACTTCCGCTTCCTCGAGACTGTCCCGTGTCGAAACGAATTCTATCTTCCGTTCCAATTTTTCACAATTCGCGTAGATGTCGACGACGAAACAATCTGGTCGAGAAATAATCTCGACCACACGTGTAATATCGTGGATTCACGGGACAGATTTCGTGCGTTAGCGAAGCCGCACCCGACCACCGTAGTACCATCTCTTCTACCGAACCACCGCATAACATCACACCAAGAAAAAAAAACAAAAAAAAAAAAACAAAAACCGTAAGCAGTAAAAACAAAAAAAAAAACGTCCCTCGCACGCTCGCTAGAGAGACACGAGACGGCGGGAAGATGGACGAAACGTAACCGTGTGTCCCTATTGCTTGTGTTGTAAAGGAGCTCAAAGCGACGAACGAGAGCCTGAAGAGCCTGCAGACGCAGCTGGAGTTGGCGTACGCGTCGACCGCGTCATCCGGAGCAGCCGTGGCGGGCGGAGGCGCCGGTCTCGGGCTAGGTAGCGTATCAGGTGCAGGCGGTACTGTCCTTGGAGGTAGCGTGGCGGTTCCAGGCGGCGTGCCCGGTAGCACCACCCTGACGGCCATCTTGGAGACAAAAGACGCGCGCATACAAACCCTGGAGAAGGAGGTGGCTTTGCTCGAGGCCGAGTTGCAACGTATTAAGGAATGCGGCGGTAGATTAAGGGAGCAGCTGTTGAAAGCGACCGCTGTGCCGAGTAGTAGCGGGGGCGGTAGTGCGCAGCAGCAACAAACGATAACGCAACAACAGCAACAACAGCAACAACAGAACAAGGTTGCCGTGGGAGGTATCGAGTCTGGGATGAGGCAGGGGTTGGTGACGGCCGTGGGTGGTCCGCAGCAGCCCGGCACGTTGACCTTGGCCAGGGGACCGTCCGTGATGACCTCGCTGGTACCGTATGGTCACACGTCGACCTCGGCATTAACCAGTTCATTGCTTGCCGGTTCGACAGGTGGGACCACGAGCGGCGGAGGCGGTGGGGGCGGTTCCTCGTGCCTTGGCGGCATCTCGTCGGGCGCTACCACCGGCGTGGTCAATCCCTATACCGATCGTTACGCGGATCATCATCTCCATCAGCTTCATCATCATCATCCCCCTCATCATCATCATCATCAGCCCCATCCCCATCAGCAGCAGCAGCTGCAGTTGCAGCATCAGCAGCAAATGCAGCAACACTTGAAACAAATTGAGCCTGCGGCGCAGGGCGCACTGGCGCTCCACGCGCACACCTTCAACAAGCACGACATGAACTTCAAACGGCAAGTAAGTTTCTTCATCAACAACGTGCGGATCGAAAAGAACGACGCCGTCTAGGGAACTCTCGAACCTTGGATTTCTCTGCCCGTCGCGTACGCGCCCGGACCTTGCGCGCCGCAGGTTCCTCTCTCCGCGTGAGTACCCGATCTACCCGATCTGTCAAAGGTATATCGAGAGAAAAGGCTCACGATACTACACGATATATATACTACCGTTACTGCTACTACTACTACTACTACTACTACTACTACTACTACTACTATTATTACTACTACTATTATTACCACTACTGCTACTACTACTGCTACTGCTACTACTACTACTACTACTATCTTGCGTCTCGTTTTGAATCGAAAAAAAGAAAAAAAAAAAAAAAAGAAAACTCACCGAGAGAAAGCGGAGACTGAGCGTCTGTTTCTCCACCCTCCTCGAAATAATGAAGGAAGGGAGGGGTGCGTAACGATCCGTGTGAGGATGCCGATACTAAACCAGAGAGAGAAAAAATTTCATTAGATCCGGCTGTGTTATTTAACTCGGGAGTCGAGACGTCGAGAGAAATCGTCCTCGATGCTCGCGCGAGTATGCGTGAGAGGGAGAGAAAAGAGCGAGTGAACGAACGCGAGAGTGAAAGAGACACGAGGCGTATGGTCGATCGAGCGATCGGAGACAACGTGTGTAATCGTGCGTGTATGCGCGTGTGCGTGTTGTCGCGCGTGTTTGCGCGTGTGTCTGCGGAGAGGAAAGGAAGCCGAAGAAAAAGATGCGGATTCGCCAGAAAGTTGCGCGCGACGTGGTCGTTTCGCGTCAGTCGAATCGTTCAGGTCGAAACGTCCCGCGGATTTTTTCGATTCCTTTCGTCTTGTCTTCTGTCGAAAATAACCGCGTCGTATCTGCGCCACGTATATACATATATACATATATGTATATATATATATATACATATATGAGTCCGTGAGAGTTGAGATGACAACGTTTACGATTACGATATAGTATAATGCATATTGCGCCGTATTCTGTTCGTGCGACGCATTTTTCGACGAGAGATTTCGGGAGAGAATAAAATAAATAAAGAAATAAACGCGCACAAGTAAAAAAAAAAAAAAAATAGAAAGAAAGAAGAAACGCTCGAAAAGATAAGATAATATAAGTTTCGAGAAGCACCCTCCACGTTTGGTCTAAGACACGATACGCTTACTTTTTCTACTTTTTATTCCTCGTATTTATTGTATTTTCTTAAGGGCGGGAACTATTTATCGAAACTATTTTTTCCCCGCGCGGAAAGGAGAACGTTCCTGAGCATCCTTTCGAATCGAACGATTCCATCCAACGTTTCTCGACTTCGTGTCGCGAGAAAGGATGGATGATCGAAGAGCAAGAACCCCATTTTTCTTACTTCTCATCGACTCGTATATATATATATATATATGTATGTATGTATGTATGTATATGTATATATCGTACGTGTGCACCCGCGGCACATTAGCGTACCTGTTTTCTTTACCTCCCGACACATCCCTTTCTTATCGAAAACAGCAGAGTTTCTATTTTTTGACTCGATTGTACCTGTTTAAGAAGTCGTAGGTTTAATAGTCGAGAAGAACCGACGAAGAAACCCGAATCACCTCGCGTCCCTGCGTTCAAACGTCGATCAGTTCCCTTTATTATTAATCGGTATTATCTCGGAGCTCGTGTCCCACGCGGATGGATGGATAGAAGATCTTTCGGATAGATCGAGCTTTTCGTTTCGAGGGTGAAAAGTCGTGGGAGAAGGGCGCGAGACGAGAGAGGTGTCGAAATAAAAAAAAATCGAGAGTCTGGGTTTCTGTGAGAGAAAGTCAAACGAGAAAGTCATTAATTCGGTAGCTTCTATGTGTAATAGAGACCGAGAGCAACTGCGCGTACCTAATGTCTAGGCCTTAGATCATCGTTACATTCGTCGTTGAATTCTGGAATATGTCTATAGAACGTTGACGTTGTGTACAGTCTATGATTTTTTAATTAGAGAAGCGTGCCTTTTTAGAAGGCACGCGTTGTTTCGATTATGTTTATATTCTGTATATATATATATATTCGTAAGAGGTGTTGTATCTTCAGGGTTTAACGATTATCGTCGTGAAACCCGCTCGTTCCTCGCCTCGTTTTGGGAAAAAGATTTTCCAAAGATGATGATCCGGTTCGTCGGATGGACGATGCTCGATGCGAGGTGAGCACAGGTTAGAAACTAGAGCTATTTTTCGGAGACGAGATATTTTTAGGTAAATCGCGGAATTGAATCGCGTGAAAAAAAATTTAGCCGAGTACAAAAGTGCACCTAACTGTTCCTACACCGGTGTTAAAGCGCGTAGCGAAGAATAATATAGATGTATATATATTTGGAAAAGAATTTCCCAATATCTGAAAAATCGTTCGAAAGTATTTACTACGTAGCCTCCTGTAGACACGTAAGCTCGTATAGATACTTCTCTTGGAAAATAAAAGATTAGTCGATAAATTTATATTACGAGGATCGTCCATCCCGAGGGATCCGGTCGTCGATCTTTTTCGCCAAAACGTGATTCGAGAGAAACAAAAAAAAAAAAAGAAAAAAAACGTACGGTTTTCAGCGAGGAAATTTCAGCGACGGGATACAAATAGCGTAGCGTAGATTCGTGTTGTTGCCACGTATGCGTCAGAGGTGTGGCGACACCACGAGAAACGCGAAGAAAAGGATGAACATTGATGCATTGTACAGTGTGTAACGCGTAGACGAGGAAGCGTGCGTTAGAGGAGGAATAAGTGACACAAAGAGGGGACGCTTCCAGCTGGGGTATATTTTCGTAGCTGAGAACGTTCTAAGACCGCCCTCCCCATCGAGCGTTGCTACGATTCTCGAGCCGCGCCGGTGTGCGATTCCCCCCCCCCTCTCAGAAGACAGAGATCACACGCGTGATAGAGAGAGGGGTGACAAAGAGGAAAATCTAAATCGAAACCCGAGAAAGGCGAGGAATCGTGGATTCCTCTCGAACCTTCCTCTCTTTGGCCCCACTCGTTCGTGCATTCGTTCGTCTCTATTCTCTTCCTTGATCGTGATCCGCGCGGCGCCGTTCGCTCTCGAAAAACACGATTTCTCCGAGCAATGGTCGGAGATTCCGAAGAATCTTTTATTTTTCTACTCTAATCTCTAGCGCTGCAAAGAGTGTCCCTGTGTTTCGAGGGTTCTCGAGCGAGCAAGGAAAGGAGCCAAGAGAGAAAAAAAGAAAGAAAGAAACGTGCGAATTTTAAAAAACGAGAGAAACGTTTCTGGGACGTCGTCGTTCCCCGATCAACGATCGAGTACAAGCTCGATCGGAATTCGAGAATCGAATAGGCCGCATTTCCAAGCGCTCCTCGATGAATCGAGCTGGCTCTACTCTACTCATCTCAGAATCGTTGATCCCCCGCAGGGATAACCTCCTTTTTTTCCCTCCGGTGTTTCCTTCCCTCGAAGATGGGACCGTTGCAACCGGAAATCGACGCACGTTTTCAAGGACATCCCCGATCTCCGGACATCCTTCCACCTCGACGATGTTGTCACGATATTTCACGCGTCCAAGCCAAGTGTTGGGGGACGGCTCTGCTACGTTCGCAAGGTCCATATTCACCGAACGCTTTCACCCAGTGTGTGGAACTCTGCTAACCGAGATAGGCGTAGAAAGAGAATAAAAAAAGAAAAAGAGGAAAAAAGGGGAAAGAATGTATCGCAAGAATCGATGAAACAAGACGATCTCGTTTCTCTGAAACCTGTCATTTCTCTCTCTCTTTCTCTCTCTCTCTCTCTTCTCTTCTCTTCTCTCTCTCTCCATACCTCGTGCCTGTACGAAACGATCCCCCTCGTTGATAACGATGCTATGCAAGGATTATAAAATCCAAGGAAAACTACGTAAGAGAGAAAAAGAAGAGATACGTCATAGAAAGGAAAGAAAAGGAAAAAGAAAAAGAACGAAGGAAGATAGATTAGAAATAGA